TAATTCATTTTTTTATTTTATTTCAGGGCAAACTCCACTCTTGAAACAACTAGGAACATTATTTAGGAGAGCAATTATACTAAATTCCACTTTAGTTTTTCTACCGCTCAATGACCAGGTCTATTAAAACATGATTACGCGTTTATTATATAGCTCTTAAGTGGGCCTCTAGTCCAGTTACAGTAAGTAAACCACTGGAGGCTTGCCAACATTCAGTATGTTTACATGCACTTAGTTTGAGTATCCTGGTTATTTTCAGCTTTCTGTGCTTTTATATTAGTGATTGTCTTCAAATAAAACTTTATGCAGACAATACTGTTTAATACTTTTATAATTCTGTTCAATTGGTCACAGAGAAATTACAATTACAGAGAACCTTTTATGTTTGTTACTGGAAATAATTACAATATACAGCGCTGCACTGTATAAGACAGGTTTACTGGGACTGTTAGAAACATAATAATCCTTGGTATTTATTTATCTACAAAGCCTTTGTCTAAAAATTGCATCATGGAAAAATGTACAAAGCCACCAATAAATCGAAAGGCATATACTCCTCTGTAACTTTAACTGTTTATCTACTTGAAACTGTTTATGTAAGCTGGCATTTTGTATATTTCACTTCAGTTTGTGGCTCTGTCTTTTCTAGTTGCATAATTTAGCATTGCGTAACATGCAATTTTCTTCATTCTGTGCCATAATTTCCCCTCTGACTCAGCACCATTTCACTCTTTTCACTCCATCTGTATTTTCTAAAATTTGACTCGGCCTCCTTGCTATTTTGCTTTCTGTATCATACAAGTTGACTTGCCCCTTCTATTCATATTGATATGTAGCGCAAAGCACATTTTTGCAGCAAAGAAACTTTGATAAATGAGGGTGATTAACTGAATGTGTACTGACTCATCTGATGACTGTTGTTACAACAATATTTGCAGGTCATGAAATTATATTTGATTTTATATTTTCCTTTCTGCACCCCATGCTGTATAACAGCAACCAAATTAGATATGATCATAGGGTACCTTTTTCCTGCTGTTTATAAAGACACTAACCTCTGCAATTATGGTGACCCCATTCACAAAGAATAAAAAAACTCAAAGACCTCATTTCACAATATTATGAGATTGTGGTTCAGTTGGAACTTTGTAGCTCTGGTCAACCCTGCAAAATGCTGTCCACATGATTTGTCCGAAGACAACATTGTTGATGTCAGCTTATGCTGTGCAGATGTGCCAGATTTGATTTCTTCTTTTATTTGGTTGGTACTGCATCTACCAATGCATGGTAGATTTTGCGCATGATATATAGTTGCCTGGTGCTTGCTGTTTGCCTGAAAATTTCCCTTATTATTTCCCTTATTTTCAAATCCAGATGTTGGTTATGGTATGGTTAAGGTATCTTTTTGTGTTGTCTGCACTGAGTCTTGGAACCAGAGGTTGCATAAATACTGTAGGTCATAAAATGGTGAAAATTTGCCATCACAATTCAGCAAAGCCCAAGTTGATATATTACTAAGGAAACCATAAAAAATGCTTAAACAATTAATCAATTATCAAGTGTTACCCAGAATTGTTGCAGGTTCATGCTGTTTATCGAATAATAGATTAATCGGCTCCACATAATATTATATTCACATACAGTAAATACAGAAATAAAGACATGTGCTTCTTGTTTTAGTTTTCAATCATCAATTTTTTTGGTAAAACTTTGAAGCTTTAAGCCCTTGTACCTAACAGTTTTTGACTGCATGAAATCTGCTGTATTAACAAGCTTTAATCGGTTGTCACACCATCAGTTATCATAGAAACAAACTCTCTGAGGGCAGGATTGGCTTCCTGAAAAAAGGCCTTCAACACAAGCAAAAACTCCCAGTACCATTAAATTTGGGGGAAAAACTGATTATTGATGCTCAAATGGATTTCCTGGGACATCAAGTTCACCCACTTATATCACAACTGTCAAAATATCTCTACCAAATGGAACCTAAGTACTGAAACAACGCCTTATTTTTAAAATGTTAGTCAATTAATATCAATCATCTGATTGTTAATAATGTACTGATATAACTTTATTGTGACAAAGCCAACAAGAATTATATGACTAAATAAAGATGAATGGCAGGTCCAAACCTTGAGATTGCTGGTAATAAATATGACATTTATTCCGTGTACATGATTTAATTTATTAAGCATTACAAATACACCAACCCCCCCCCCCTTCCTTTCTGCAAGTTGAGTAATTTCTGTTGAAAAAGAAGAAGAAGCTGGCAGCAAAACACACATTTCCTGGCTGGTAAATGGTGAGTCGAGTACATCTTTGGCCACTAGCTATTCAAATACTTTACCTAGTGTCCAAGTGGTGCTGGTCCGTTTGTGGCCTTCTTTATGTGCTTTTGCTCTTACAGTGTGTGTGTTTGAGACAGAGAGAGTGAAGTGGATTGACTTTACCATATGAGGTCTTTATAAATGTTGTGACTCACACTGTTGCTGACTGTATTCCAGTAAACCACCACAGATGACACATAATAATAAAAAAGCCAACTAAAAGAAACACCATATCACTTACAGCTATCTCTTATGTTTCAGAGCAATAAATGCAATTTGGAGAACTCGCCCCCAGATTGTTTGACATTTAAAAGCAAGGACCTGCCAAAGCAGAAAAAATAGAGAACATGGCAATGTCGGTTTATTTGGGGCCCAGCCATCTGGTTTGTTTTGGCCAGTGTTTCAGAGAAGCAATGTGTGATTATCATACCACAAATATTTTTCAAGAACAAATCTATTTATAGAGATCAGCGTGTTGATTGGACTCCGAAACAGTATGAGCCTGCATCCAAAACAGGCTAGAAGGGCCAGGGATGCCCTTTGCCTGCCTCAGTGGGACAAAATCAATTATTGTTTCCGTAATTCAAATAAAAAAAAAATACAAAAGGTCGAGTGTGGGATGATATAAAAGCAAAGTGTTAGCTTTCTCTTAGATAAAGTTAAGTAAGTATTGAGGTTTGGTGGGCCTGCACTTGTGTGGCTGTGATGGCGCAATGGATAAAATGCCTGCCTTTGGTGTGAAAGACCTGGGTTCAATCCCCCACTGTGACCCATCCACCATTGTGTCCCTGAGCAAGACACTTGTTGTCCCAGACCTCTGACATGTATCGCAACTGTATAAAATGGATTTGGAAATTGGATAAAAGCGGTGCTATGTTGATAGCCTGTGCATTTAAATAAGTGCTAAAACTGGAGATGGTTAGACTACGGTCACACCAAACCAAAAAACAGCTTGATTGAAAACCATTTTTCCTGTCCTCAGAGAAAACCACAGAGTCCAGGTACAAGCTCCTCAAGGCTGAAAGCCTGCGAAGTGATACCCCTGTCATCGCTAGACAATTCTGAAAATTAGATATGGCAACAAGCCTAACAGCCCCCCACTGTTGGGAAACACTTATGTATTGTTTTGTGGAACTTGGGGGCAAGCAATGAAAGGATGAGGTAACGGCTTTTAAGCCTCAGAATCTCCCTTATTTCGTCATTCAAAGCCAAACACAAGGCATTTCGCAGCAAGGGACGTCTTATCAGAGAGAACCAGCCATCCAGGCAAAACTGCTGAATTGGAGATGTCAGACCTCCTCTTAAGCCAGCAATTGCTTGGAACTCTGTGGAATTTGCAGTAGTTTTCCACATCTGAGAGGGCCAAGCATCTGCCATAGTTTGAGTCCTGTTATCATTAACCCCCTCAAAAGGAAACAGAAAGCTTCGCCCCTTCACCCCCGAAGGACACAAGGACAAAGCGTCAATCAAGGAAAGTTTGTAATGACGAGACAATGACAAGCGATACATTAGGTATTGCAATGACAAAAATCTTGCCACAGACTTACCTTACAGGATAAACATGACTGAAGTGTCTGGAAACTCAGTTACTAAAAATGAATATAATTTTAATACTGTTGAATATTTTGTCTTTCCAGTGAAGTGTTATTTCCTATAATTTTTTATTCATTCTGTCTTCTGAAGACTAGAGGCTTGATGGAACAAATATAACGGCTGTGCCCTATAGGTCAACCTGTGTAATGCAGCATATTTTGCCTATTTTTCTGCCAAAACATGACCTACACTCAGTACTGTGGCTGGACGCATCCCATGTAGACACAGCCAGAGGACTCAAGCATCTGCTGCTTTCACTGTTAGACATTGTGTAAGAGTTACGCTAGCTGGTCGGTGATGCTATATTAAGTCACAGCAATGCTAATGATGTCATGCTAATGTGGTTACAATATCAATGTTAGCATAAAATTTTGACCTAACAAGTATGCCAGGTTATCACTAAAGTTATTATAGGGAAGAGCCAGGACAATTGAAACCCCTTCAGATAAACTTTGTTTTAAAAGATAATGTTACAGTCAGAAATGATTTGTTGTGATCAACAACTCACATGTGTGTTCTATCAATACCAGATGCTTTTGTAAAAATGTGGAACATCTTTGATATACTTTGAATTAGAATAGAAGCTGTGCAACAGGGATGGGACAGAAGAAACAATTTGATCATGACAATGACACATTGAACAATAAACACAACGTGACATATCCACCTGATTTTTTGGACTTCAGTAATTGCATACTGTACGTGCTGACATAGTTTGGCATAGTTCAGAGAAAACTGCTGTCTTACTTTCTTCCCATGTTTCATTCATCCCAGCTCTCGTCCATGTACTACATGTCATGGCAAATTCATCCAGCAGTAGTTAAAATATTACAATCTGGACCAAAGTGGTTGGAGAGACTTACCAACATTGCCATGGATAGAGTCATGCTACTTCTACTGCTAAAAATATTTTTTTCAGTTATTTGCAGATTCATTAATATGTCATGTTTCAACCGGGCTTATCACTTTAACATGTGGTGCAAATATGCAACTGCTGTTCAAACCGAAAACAGATCCAGTGCTGAGATAAAAACAATAATCCCCTTATTTGTCTACCAGTAGCAACATGAGCGGTATTACCTGTAGTTTTGTTTCTCACTGCCAATCTGGAAGCGGTCATACAGTGAGAAGGCCTGGTGTCCGTCCCAATCTGTCAGTTCCACACGAAGGGCATACTGCCTCTGGCTTGTAAACTGGTAAACATACTCGTTTCCCAACCAATGCTCTGCAGACACGCTCCCAAAACCCTGCAATGAAGGAAGAGAAACACAATAATCGGTGTAGACATACCACTGAAAATCCTTTTTGTAAATCACAGGCTTGAGATTATTCATTGCTAGCTTCTCTCTTTTCCTTAGAATGATAAAATCTCAACACTAGAGGATTGTGGAATGGATGTGATGGAATTTCCTAATTTATTTTTTGTCAATCAGAAATAAGATCAGAGCAAATGGTTTCTGATAATAAATAATGTGGTTGTTTATGCATCAGCAGAAGCTGAAGATTTTTTTCATTCATAGCATCCCAGGGTTTCATTTCTCCAGACCTCAGTGAAAAAGCCACGCATATTACTCACATTGTATATTAAAATATTTTATGTAGGTTTTTTAGGCATGCTTTGGACCTGATCCTCCACGTGGATAGACTTACATACCTATAAACGTGCCTAAATTGGTACCAGCTGAAAACGACACACCTTTTTCCATTTCTGTCTTCCACTCACGTCACACATGTTAAACTCATTATTACTTAAGTACTTTTTTTCTCAAAATATAAACTGCATGCACGGACACACCTTCAAATAACTGCAAAAGTCTGTATTTGATCAGAGTGACTCCCGGTCACAGGCAAAGTGCTTCTGACAGCAGCAAGAGCAGTGGATTGAAGAGGGGAATATCACAAAGCAGGATGACATTACAGCTCTGACAGGATAGTCTACGCTGGACCGCTCCATTAAAGATTGAGGGAAAGGGGGGTGAAGTGGGCTAAGGAGGCAAAGTCAGGGAGAAGTCTGTGTCTGTGCTGAGTGTGTGTAGTGATGAGAAATGGGAAGGAGGGAAAGTAAATATGGGGCATTCTTTGGGCCTTAGGCATGTCCTGCCGAGTGGGTGGAAGAGAAAGTGACTGGGGCCCATTACCGCTTTCTCTCCTCTTTTTCTCTCTCTTTCTCTACAATTGATCTCACTCCTGATGAGATGTTCCATTCTGACTGGCTTTCAGCTTGGTCCAATGTCTCTTACTGTGATCGCAGTATATCTCAAGAACCCTGGCAAGAGCAAATGCTTGGAGTCAAGCTTTGTTGACAGTTTTCCTTTGTATAGTTCCGGTGCTTTGCGATCCTTCACACGCAAACCTGATCTACATCACTCAGCTCAGAAAAGATGAGGAGATGGTTAGTCATATTGTTGGACTGAGCGCTTGGTTTGCATTTCAGTTACACTTGCTAAAATCACTTTGTCTGGGAAAAAGTAATTGTAAATGCTGAACAGTGTAAATATCAGAAACTGTTGAACATACAAAGATAAACCAGTGGTTCTTAATATTTTTTGTATGACGTACCCTCACAGCTGTATCAGATAAGCATTATATAAAAGTGGATGAAAAGTGGACTGTTTTTTTTGTTTTTGTTTTTTACAATTTTTATTTAATACAGTTGAATTGCCAATGTTTAAGTTGCTTTGGTCAAATTTGCATTCAGTTAGTTGAAACGTCCAGCTCCAAGTGGCAGAAGTTACTGTGTATCCATTAGGCGACTTAAGCTACTACTAGCTAACTATTTTAATCCGTTACCAAATTATTTCAACTGTTTATCCGTTACTTTTAGCAAACTATTTCAACTGTTTATTAATACCTTTAGCTAAATTTTAACTGCTTATACACTACTTTTAGCTAACATTAACTATTTCAACTGTTTTTCATTACATTTTGCAATTTATTTTAACTGTTTATTAATTACTTTAACTAACGTTAACTATTTCAACAGTTTTTTCATTACTTTTTGCAAACTATTTTAAGGGTTTATTCATTACTTTAGCTAACATTAACTATTTCAACTGTTTTTATATTACTTACTGCTATATTTCAACTGTTTATCCGTTATTTAACTAGTTCTTTATCCATTACCTTATGCTAACTAGTTTCTGCTCACTTGTTAATGTGATCTTCATGTGTTACAACTGACTCAGGTTGATGGACAGCTCACTGGTTATTGTAAACTTACTATTTAAGTAACTGAGCTTTCCACTTCCTCCTTGGCAATTGCATACTATAAGTACCTACAGGGGTAGCACCATTTTCACATGCTGACAAGATAAAGTTATGAATATAATTTGCAAGGTCTCCTGTGATGTTTGGTCTCCTGGTAATGTAATTACTTTCATTTGAATGTGTGCACTATGTCTTGCCAAAAGTTTCTCCATACTCCCACAAAGAAACAGCATCTCTGTCATCATCATCATCTTTGACTGAAATATTTACAAATCCTCCAAGTACATTACATCTGTGAGCACGTCTCAGGAGACCAAGAATGTAAAAATTAATAACACAATAAAACACCATCACCCTCAGTTGTTTCAAGGAGAAGAACATAAATATTAAACTGTTCATCTGATCATTACTGTAAATGTTGGCCAAGGTCCATTAGTGTGCTCTCGTGTACTGTAATGCAGTCCATGCTCTCTATCTGTACACCTGTTCAAGGCTGGAGGATTTTCACAGCTGTCTGATTGGTGCTCACTTTTTAGGCCTCACATTATCTTTATATTCTTCTTCTCCTTTGTTCTTCTTGCTGTCTTTTATCATCGCTCTGTTTCTGTTTTACCATTCAAACATTTCACCAGTGTTGAGTCCCAGCGCATTTTATTTGATCTAACTTGGGTTATTTGGTTTACGTTCCTGTTTTACCATTCAAACATTTCACCAGTGTTGAGTCCCAGCGTATTTTATTTGATCTAACTTGGGTTATTTGGTTTATAAATCTTTGAAATACTTTTCCATTGACTGGTACATTGTACACCAAGAGCAGTGGAGAGGGGAAGTAATTAAACTTGAAATAGAAAGCAGATTATAGTGGATAGAGTGAACATAGTTCGTTTGACAATAAACTGACAGCTAGTGGAAGCTCTACACAGGTGACTTACGCCTTACGCAGAAAACACCAGCAATGCAACTGCCAGCTATAATAAATCCAATCTACTGTCTAAACACAGCTTAGGTTGAAAATGTTAACACTCCCAATGCAAATATGCATAGATTACTCCTTGATGACAAACAGATGAAACAGCTGGCACAGTGCTATAGAGACTAAACAAATGTGTTGTTTTAACATTTAGGTAATAATTTCCTGTTGGATAAGAGGAAGAATAACAGCATGTCACTTAAACCTCGACTGAGGAGTGGAGCAAGTCTCAGAGACCCTAGACAATATTGCTAGTACAAAAACGACAGGGGAGCTATCGCTTAGGAGTAATAATATCTGGCCGAAGTGGTCCAAATGGTCTTGGATCAGTGTGTCCTACCCCTTAGTTTTCAGTATGTTCAATCAAGGCCAAAAAACGCACTCTATTTGTCATAACCCTTGTAGAAGAGGATGTTTTGGTCATCACACTGTTTCGTAATTCTCTCCCTTTCTGTCTGTGTGTTGACTCATTGTCTTGTGGACCACCATTATCATCTTGGCTTTAATGGATATGGATAATTTCTGCATGATGAGCAAGGATCTGTGTGCAAGTATTTTCTTGTCTCACCATCTTGTACTCCTTCCACGTTCTCTGGAAGTCCACACTGCCATCTTCTCTGCGCTGGATGACCGTCCATCCGCCACCGGCTGTTTCCATGTTGCAATACACCTACACAATTGAAATGAGAGAGCAAAAGAAGATGGGAAAACACATGATTGAAGATAATGGAACACTGATAACACCCATAGGTCTTTTTACATTTTTGGAGGATTCTTAAGATGTGATTGAACTAGCAAGACAATGATTCCAACATTCAACACTCTCAGCGGCATTAACAAACAATGAAGGGTCATTTGGACAATTATTTGGTTTCAGACACTCCTTTTCCAGGCTTTCAAGATGAATCATCTTTGGGAATGTGACGGATCTGTGTCCTCGTCAAAGTTAATCAGTGTCTCCTTATCCCTCACCAACTCCCCAGAGATGTTCCTCATCACAGGCCCTTGTTTCTGCAGGATCAAAGTGGCCGTCCTGGGTGTAATGTGGCCCTTAACCTTGGACCTCAGTGTGTGTAAGGTGATAACACAGGGCTGGCGCTCTATCTGCAGTGTTACTCTTTGTTTTGAGGAAGAGACCCCAGGGTGGAGTGGAGAAGGTCTCTCACCTTAGCCAGTCCACACAGCTGAACACACATGAACACAGCCTGGGTAAAATTAAGGCCCTTCACGGAATCATTTTCCCAAAAACTAACATAATCATAAATGCACCAAGAGCGTATACAAACCCCACAAACCTTATATATATATATATATATATATATATATATATATATATATATCCATCCATATACAGGGTATATACAGGAATCCTGAAGTAAAATTCAATACTTTTTAAAACCTTTTTCAAGACCTTTTCAACATATTTTAAGACTGCCGCGCTACTTTGAGCTGTAAACGGTTGAGTCAGAAACACAACTTCAAAAGGGTTTTTGGTAAGTTTTTATAACAATAACTTTAGTAAAACATACAATGTTATCTAAATAGAACAAGATTAACATGTTGCAGAAGCAGCACATATTAGCACAGTGACATCCTGACTCTGGCTACATCTGTCTGCTGCAGAGGATCCATCCACAACCTGGAGGAGGAGCCAGTGTAAATGACTGTATTTGTATATTATTTATATGATGTTACTATATTCATTATAATTTCATATAATAGTACTGTATATACCTAACCACTATTATAATAATAAGCTGTTTCATTTTGGAGTTGTTTTTTATTCATTAACTTTGTGCAAGAAAACTGCTCTACATGGTAGTAGTTAGTCTCTAACCTTAATTTTAAGTAGTCTACTAACGCATCAATAATCTATTTATGCAGAACGATGACTTTTTTAAATATTCTGCTCCATTCAGGCTGCGATTGATCTGTTCACGAAAAGTGACATTGACGAGCACATCAGCTTTATGAACACTTGAACATATTTCGATAAAAGGCACTGATAAACCCAAACGCTGCTTATATTTTCCCTGTTGTCTTCTGTCTTACCGCTTCACCTGCTGACAACATATCTTGTTTTTAAACGCGGACCCCAGAGCTCAGTCCGACTATGTTTTGAACGATTAGCATTGGGGTCCAGGCTGGTGGAAGGTTAGGGTCGGTTGTACTCGTAAATCAGTTTCCCGGTTTGCACGGATCTACTTTTAGGGGCGGATGAGAGTGAAAGGCTCGCACGGTAGATTCCTGCACCTAACGTTTCACAGAAGAATCACACAGCCACTAAAGGTACGTCCTGCCTATCAAGTGTTTTTGGCTATGCAATATAAATAAATACGTTCACCCACATTTTTACCATACAAACTCTTTGGGCAAAAAGGATTTTCACAAAAATATCTACAAAATTAAATACCTTATTAAATGGCGATTAAGACTTTTCAATTATTTTTAAAGGTCTTAATTTTCGCTAAATTGATTTATTATTACCTTTTAAAACTTTTTAAGACCCCGCAGACACCCTATACCCTATCCTTGTTTTTGTACCCATGTAGCCTACGTTTTTGCTCAAAACTGTTCTGCAACTAGGACTAGTATTTTCCAGCTGGCATGAATTTTTGATTTGTCCTATTTCTGATTTGAGCACTACCTATATTACTCTATGTTACTCTGTGTTGTGATCAGGTTGTGATTCAAATCACAGGGTAACCCATTCATTGCTGAGGTAACCTGATGCTGAGAGATTTCACAGTGCCATCACATTTGCCACTAACTACATGCCATGACCCATGAAAGAAACAAAGCTAGCTCGGCCCCTTCTTGCAGCTGAGCGTGTGAGAATGCCAGTGACTCAGCAGGTGTTGAAATAACATGAAGTAAAATAAATGTCTAGTGTGAATCAGTACTAAAGTTATAAAACTAGATTAGCTGCCACTCAGAAAGCAAAAGCGAGTTAGCTAAGCTAGCTAGCTTCTACCTTCTGTATGGAACAGCACAATGGGTCCTCCTAAATGTTGTAAAAGGAGACACTTTTTAAATTGCTTATAGTAGGCCTACTTAACCAAATATGTGTGGGTTTGTTGAAAAATTAGAAGATACTGTTTTGTATCAACATACGTAGGCTCTCTTAGCTAGGGTATTTTCCATTCAACAGCACTCAGAAATCAGCCGCTTGCCGGTTGAAGCTTAGATGATGTTTTCACAAATATGTTCAAAAGCTGACCCATTATCTTAAGAATAGAAAATATGCACCTTCTGCCAACTTTTGAAATCATCACTCTATTGATAAGAGTATAGTGTTGAGGTTAAGAACATTTGCACCCACACGCACAATTGCACAATTGTCACCATCCTGATTAGGTCAGTGTGCTGTTTCACCCTACTACCTTACCCGCTGCTAACCTCCAGCACTCACAAAGAGCTTTAGTATATATTCAGCTTTCAATATTCCTACAGCAGCTAGCACCCATCATTCACACTCATCAGTGGCTGAGGGTCTTTTTAGCTCACTTAAAGAGAGTCTCTCTTTGAAACTCTATAGCGTAAACCCACTATGAAATAGCAGCCTCGAAGTGAAAAAGATATTGGCAGATTTTTTCAAATAATTGTAAGATATTGTAACTTCCCACCTTTCTAGTCTCCTGGGGGTTGATCTGGATGGTGTAGACTCCATTCTTATGGACGCCAGCCTTGTACAGGTCGGCACAGTCACGGAACTTCTTCTCTTCCTCCACCTTTGTACTATTAGGCACAACTGTTGACATAATAGAAAAAACTGTTACAACAAAAAATCAAGCACAAGCACCTACTTGAAGCGCAACTATTGAAAATCACTGTTTTCAGAAATACACTTACACATTTATTTTACTCTTACTGAGAGTAAAAAAGAAAATTGATACCACTCATGTCTGTGAGTTAGGTTTACTGCTGGGGCCACGCACGAGGAGATTAGCTTATCTTAAAGACTGAAAGTGGGGGTGAAACTACTAGCTTGGCGCTCTCCAAAGTTTAAAAATTCAGCGACGAGCACCTCTAAAGCTCACTAATTAACACTTTGTAGCTTGTTTGTTGTCTGTACACAAACAGAAACTTGAAAAAAGTTGTGGTTTATCTAGAAGTTACGGGCCATAATTATTTCTTGGAGAACAACTTGGATTTAATGTTGTCATTTTTGTACAACCCACACTAAATTGAGTTGCCACAAATGCCAGCTGTCTGTCAGAAACATAAGAGGAGCAAATTTGGACTTTGACTGACATGGTGCTACAGCTCAAGTGTTACTGCTACAATATTTTGTGATAAAAGTTGACACTTGATATGCCAGACACAGACACAAGAATAGCACTGTACAAAAGGTCCACCTGTTACCATTCATGCAACCTCTTGTGTTACAAGTAAGGAAATCATAGTTCAACAATGTTTTATGAAATCACAAATGGCAAAAAATCCCTTAAAAGGCCAATTTATCATATTTCAGATCTATACATCTCAGAGGAGAAAATATAAAAGCAGTCCGAGGCAGAAGCTGATCGGTGAGGTCTCATTGTGAGTATCTTGTAACGGCCAGAAAAAATCAGAGGGCAACTAACTTATTAGCAAGAGAAAAGCAGTTCATCGACTGGATAATCTCCCACTCCGAGAGACGGCCTACGACTTTGACAGACCAGCTGCATCCATTTCCATCTGTAGATAATTATGGCGGCACTATTTTGAAACCAAGCAAGGGGCTAAGGACAAAATACTACAAGCTATAAATTTCAAGTTCCTGTTATAACAAGTGGTTTATATTTACCTCCCAAGCCCTTGGTATATTGATGGAAATTCCTTCCGATTTCCCCTCTCTCCTCTTTCTTCCTTCCTTTCTCCTCCCATATGAGGGGTTCATCTCGGTTTTCATACCATTGTTTTTATTGTTGGAATTGTTGAGTTAAAGAAGATGTCAGGGAAAAGTGAAATGTGTCAGCGGTCTTTAGCCTTTACTTTGATCCCCTCTCCAGAGCACAGAACATCCCGGTGGAAGCAGTCAGCTTATTTGGGTATACTATCTGACCATTTTGACAAAGTATTGAGTGTCAGTGACAAGAATCTCCCGCTGTGACAGGTTGACAGAGTGGGCCCTCGCACTCCAGACTCTAATACAACAAAGAGCAGCCCTGTCAGGCGGTAATTTACCCCAAGCCGGCAGACGGTGGGGCACATTGTAGAGGTCAAGGAGATCAGAGAGGAACTTTTTGGTGTTCGATCTGTAAAAGTGTAGACAATTATTTCACAATCGCCTTTGAGAACTCCCCTGGTGGAAGAAGACTGTCTGCCGAGGGACTTGATGCTCCAGTGTAGGAGCAGCTCCCTTGAACAGCTTGCTGCCCAGCTCTACAAATATTATTTATGTCCCAATATTTATTTACAGAAAAATATTTTGTGGTTCAGTGGGGACTCGTATTCAGTAGGGGGTTCATGTGAAAAGATCAGCAGGGCTTGGGTGTTTGTATAAATCAGTACCCTTGCCAAATGAGCCCAAATACTAGAACTAAAGAGAGTGAGTAATGGAGCTAAATGGACTGCCATAGACATCCAAGCTCCCATGTAACTATAATCAGTCTTTAAATGCTGCTGAGAGTTTAAGTGATTCCATATATGATCCAATGATTTTCTGTGGTGTATTAATTTATAAAGGATGCACAGTACTATAAAATAATACCAGTTCATTCCCACAGTAAAATTCACTACAGTGATGTATAGTCCTTGCTTAAAGTGAAGAATATTGCGGTTGTGTGAAAACTTCTGGGTAATATGTCTCAATACTCATGTGAATCAAGTTACATTTGTTCAATAACAGAAATACTGATTGCTGACACCTTCTCAGTTTTGATGCAACCCTGCTAACTAAGAATTTTACAATTATACAAAATAGCTTTCAATGTGTAATGCGTAATTTATTTCTCCATTACATGTATATTGACTTGGTTATATTTTATTTATTGAATGCAAACTACTATGTAATGCGTAATTTATTTTTATTTTTTCTTTCATTGTACATTGACTTGTTTTATGTTTTATTCGTTGCACACCACTGTGTGATACAGATTGTTATTCGACTTGTATATTTTACATTGATTGCTATAAAGCACTTTGTTACCTGTACTGAAAAGTGCTAAACAAATAAAGCTTTTATTATTATTATTATTATTAATATTATTATTAACCACATTGCAAAACATTTTGTAGGAATCATATGCCTGCTTTAGTTTTGATCAATATATCAATAACATTTATATGTCAAATATATATAAAACTCTCACTATCAGTGTATTTTAATTGTTTTCAAACCCTTGTAATCTCTGCAACATAATACATTGACCTCTATGACTTCTTCACATTCTGTTGATAAGATTAGTTCATGTTTCAAACTAAAATTATAGCCATATCTGTACCTTTACCATTGTACCTTTAAGGTTAGGAAAAGATCGTGGGTAAATATTAAAAAAGTCAAAACTGAGTTGAAGCCCGTGAGAAGGGGTGCATAGACCTAACCGATATTTAGCCAAAACCACAATCTTCCCCTATACTTTTAGTGTTTTAGTAGCTTAAAACAAGTCATACCTAGCCTCTGGTGTCAAAATCATGTGCTTTGTACACCCAACCATACGTCCCAACCTTCATGGTTACTTACCAACTGTGATGTGGAATTGGTACTGCCTTATTAAATGGCTCTAAAACATATTGCTCCATTTAAACAGACATGTGTGTAAATGCTACATACATTAAAATAGACTTGTTCCCTCTGCGAAAATAAAGGTGAGAGGAAACCCATACTTTTAGGAAGGTCACTGAGGTGACTCGCAATAACTGCACACTTTGTAAGATCTTTGCAACAATAGGTGTCAACTCATTCTGCTGGTCAGTGAAGCATAAAAATAATCATATGCAGCACTTAAAAACTCATTCAGGATCGTGAAGTGATGTCTAATGAAGTGGTTTACCGTAATGTTATGTTGGGGCATTATAACCCGCAAATTCCAACCAAATTTTTTTAGGCTTTGCATGCAACCTGAAATAATTCCACTCTCTTCGACTGTGAGTAAGCAGCTGTAAAAGTGATGAATGTCATTCATTTAGTGGGATAATAGAACATTGTAAAACAAAATCATATTTGGCAGCCAGAAATTTTAGTGTTCCAAAGCTGAGGTCAATTACTGTTAACAACAGTGTGTGGCTCATTGCACACTAATCAGGTTTGGGTAATGATTACAACCTAAACAAGAGCTCCACTGCTGCATCTGGCCACATCAAAAATATCTTTCAGTCCCTCAGTTTGCACTACAATGGCTGAAAAAACACTGTAAACCTTAATTTTAGGAATAGCCATACATGGACAAATGAAAACATATATGTTCATGGAGATTTAATATTAAAACTATTTTCTTCCCAAAGCAAAGTCAAAAGTGATTTGAGTCCATTCTTTAAAGGAAATGCTCAGACTCAGTTTTCAAAATAGAGCCTAATGCAAGTAGATGCCACTTCATGGCAAGAAATGCTAAACCTTTTCTCAAATGAAAACACAAATCCGTTTCTCAAACAAAAGCCCTCCCATGAATATGGAAAAAATTGAGCTCTGCTGCTTCTGTGTATTAAATGCTGTTAAATTTGGAAAAACAGGGCATGTGTGTCAGATGATCAGTGAGATCTATCTACTTCTTCACCTCCTTTGGACGGGGCTTCCCCCAGGAGCTATTACAGTTTGACTTATTTGGGCCAGGGTGAAGAAAGGGGAGACCTCTGACCTGCATGCCCGCCTTAACCTTCGGTACTGCCATGGAAGAGGAAAGGACCAACCACAGAGCAACCACGTTCCATTTCTATCACCTCTCATTAACACAGCCACTAATCACAGACAGCGGGACAGGCTGTGGTACCCTGCTTTATTGACACCAACTGACACTGAAAATACCAGGCATGGTGGCAAAATAAAGGTTAGAAAAGTATAATCTAGAGTGAATTTAATAAAACTTGTGGAATTGCAAAGCTAGTAAAATAGAGGGCCAAAAGTGTGGAATCAGGACAAATTTAAATCAACATGAAGACTGTAAAGATCATACATAATGACCAGTCATGCCCAAATGGTCTCAATAGGCCCCTGGTAATAAAATGTAACATATACAAATCTAGACTAAACAGATGGAGAGTTAGCAGAAGCCGCCCATGACCTTTAGTTCACGGAACATTAAAATAATAAAAGGGAACAGCATGATAAACACAAAGCATGTGTTAATCATGTGCAATGCTTATCCACTCATGACTCTTACATCCCTTTATACCCTTGTTGTTTCCTATCTGCTGGGAAACCTCAGGGGAGCCCCACAGGGTCTAAAAGCGTCTCCGCAGGAAATCCACAAATGTAAATGAGATTGCAACAAATCCCCCAACATGGACATTCATGTCAAATCTCCTGTGACCAATGGGATTTAAGGCCAATGTAAGGATCAAGTGGGATTGGTGTTTAAATGGCTGGGAAAGGGCGTAAATGAGTTCACACCGAACAAGAAAGGTTGCATTGCTGTCAGGTCAAATATAGGGCCAAAAGGGAAATCCCTGGTCGCGTATTAACAGAAGGCAGAGACTCAGAGGAGTCAAACATAACCAGTCATGTTTGATGTATCAGTGAAGCTGTGTGCACAGACTTTATAAAGTTAAAGCGGTAAAAGCGATTGTTGCAAAAAAAGAGCGCCATGCTGGTTTGTGAGAGGCACCAAACCAGGTTGTAACAACAACCGTGTTTGTTTCTTCATGCTGCTCTCAATGATGCAGAATTTAATAGCTAACAGCATCCTTGTGTCTCTAAGTATGGAGTTTATACAACTGGTGTCATTATAATTTCATGAGGATTGTAAAATCAAAGATGTTGTAGCTGTAACGCCTGACCTGAGGAAGTAAGTAATCCAAAACAAGCTGAGTGCAGCCAATACACAAACTTTCTTTTGCACATACCGCCTGTGGCAAGGGTCAGTAGGCATTCTTTGCCTGGTTGGACCAAGTGAGTGCACGTCGGATGTTGATTTTACTTTAAGGTGACCAGATTTCTGAAATGAAAACCGGGGACATTTTTGGTTTGGTGGTCAGTTTGTCATTTAAAAATAATATTATTATATATGAAATAAAAAAGGGGGACAATTTTGGTTTTATAATCTGTCAAATATAACTCTTCTGAATGAAAGCAATCATAATTTTGAGGCAGAACCTACCTTTCAGTCAATATGTCAATCAGTGTTTGCAGTCAATAAACTGCAAACACTTAGCCTATTATGCCACAATTGTGAATAAAGTGATGTTTATTTGCACGTTATGTCTGTTTGATCCAAATAAAAGCAGCTGTAGACATAAAGAGACTGGGCGATGCAGCCAGCCAAAAATCAGTTTTCGGCGGGCGATCACTTTTCGGCACGACACCTGTATGCTCTGCTGTCCAGTCTTTCTGGACATGTAAAATCTGATATCAAGTCTGTCAAAACCTTATACAGTCAATGATTAACACACAGTTAAAAACGGGGATATTTCCGGGGACAGCTCCGGACGGGGACAGGCCACCAAAACCGGGGACTGTCCCTGGAAAACGGGGACGTCTGGTCACCCTATTTTACTTGTTTGAAAGTGAAACAAGATTGAGAGTCAGCAGCTCTTTGAGGCTGTACTTCGACACAACAGTGAGCTAAATTACAAAGTCAGCTGGCTAAGATGCTCACAGTGACGATGCTAACATGCTAATGTTTACTGGGTAAAATGTTTACCTTGTTCACCATCTTATTTTAGCAAGTTAGCATGCATATTTTACCTAATAAATGAAAAGTCAGGGATCACGAAAGTTATTCAAATTCATCCTGAGGGGGACATTAATAAGTGCATAAAGCTTCATGGCAGCTCAACCAATAGTTTCACTCAAAGCCACAAATGTCAACCTTGTGGTGGCACTAGAGGAAAACTCAGAGGATCACCACAGTCAGGAGGCTTCATCGTCTGGGGACCATGAATAAATGAAATAAATGAAAATTTTATGGCGATCGTTCCAATAGTTCTTGTACCAACAACAGACTCAATAGACTGACCAACATTCCCCTATGTAGAGCCACGCTAGCATAGTCAAAAAACACAGTGGCTATTATGGCAATGGGAAATTACAACTTAACTACACCTACAGATAAGGTCTTCCAGTTGGTAAATCATGCTGTATGTCCTGTCCTTATTGTCTGTGATTTCTTGGCACTTTGTTCAACTTCAAAACACAGCCTTGTTGTTGCCATCATCTAAATCATTCATGGTATTGCGCTGATTGGTCCAGCTTTAAGCTGCTGCGCTCAATCACTTCTCCATGATTTTGCAGGGCGACCCGATTTCACAAAATGGTCACACATTTTCTTACACTTCTAATAGGTTGTGACTTTCTTCATCTCAATCCTCAGCACTATACAACATCCAGAATGTGTTCTTACGTGATAGCTATTGTGAAAGACCATATTTACATTTACAGTTCCAAACTTCTCAGCATGTAAGATTTTAATTCCAGTTAGCTTACCTCCATCTTTGGAACAGAGGTGGAGCAGATTGTGGACAGTATCCATCATCTCCTGCTGCTGTCTCTGCAGGGCCGTGCTGTTTCCTGTGGCCCGGCTCAGTTGGGCTTCTAGCTCCCCGATAACCCCGCTCTGCCTCCCCACTAGGGCCTGGAGACTTCCCTTCTCCTGCTTCAGCGTCTCCAGCTCTTCACGGTGCCGCATCTCCATTTCTAACATTTTCTGCTCCAGGAGGCTGAGGGAAAGGAAAAAGGTCAAGAAAAGTTTGTTATGGAAGATGGAGAAGTTGTTAATTATTATATTATCCTTCAGAGCACCCAGATTAGCTGGAATTAGATTTGTTTTCACAGATTATAATAGATTGACAAATGTTTAGATTTTTTGTTATGATTTTAACAATAATTTACTGGTTATGTAATGTGTGTCATTTTCATTTTTTATATAGGCATCATGAATAGGGATCAGCTGGTTGACTCTAAATTAATAAAATTCCTTTATACTTACTGTTACTTTGTGATGGACAATGCAAGTTATTACAATCAAAACATGGTGAAGCTCCCTTCACTTCCCTCACACAAATATTTCCCAGTGAGAAATATGGCAACGCAATACAAGAAGTTTCCATAAGACAGAAATACAAAAATGTATCTGTCTGTAGGTTTGGTTGCTATGTGTTCCGCACACATCATATGCATCATCATGAATGGAAAAGACTCATCTGAGGTACACGATAAAGCCTTTCCATATGTAACCATTACCACTGTACAATCTAATGCCTGAAAGATGATATAAGCTGACATCAAATTCATTAACTAATCATATGTTTCCCTCTATTATAGATTTAGCAAAGGAAAAAGAAACCACGACACGTACAAGAAGGAATAATGTCAAAATTGCTTAAGCTTAGGGAAAAAGCCCTCAGAAATTTATGTCCATAAGCCTCAACAATAACTTAAAAGTCAGAATCACCAGGGACTATGCTTTAAAATGAAGTTCTTTTATCAAAGTGATTGCACGGAGTCTCTATGGATACTGCAATGAGAGATGTGGGCCAAACCCTTATTAAACACTACATCATCTAACGCAATCCCACAGGACCAATCACTGTAAAGAAAAAGATTTGGAGACATGAAAATGTATCCAAAAGCCACATTTTAAGTGGCTGATTTTGCAACAAATGTGCAAGGGTTCAGCAGGGAAAAGCATAGCCTCATGCATTTGAGACTGATTTACATCACATAAAATACAAGCTGCTTACTGAATCTTGTTTTAGAAAAAAGGACATTAGTTGGTAGTCAGTGAGAGCTGTTAGCAAGCTTTTGATTTTAAGCAACCCAGCAGAGAACTGGCTCCTCGTCTGTCGATGTATCTTCTTTATTTCCTGCAGTCTATCGCTGTCCAATTTCCTGCCATATGGATGGTATCAAGTGCGTGTGGTTTTGTTTGTTGAAGTGTCGACTGTTTACCTGTTCTTGTCATGCAGCTTGCTGATCTCATTGGTTTGGACCATTAACTCTTTCTCCAACTTGTTTGTAGAAAGAGAATTTTCCAGCAGCTGGATCTCGAGCCTGGATGTCTGATTCAGAACCTGACATGATAAGAAGTACACAGATATACAGAATACAGAAATAATAAAGAGATTATGCTTCTATACACACTATGTTAGCTGCAGTAATACTAGTTAATGTGACGCACATGTGCACCAATCCCTTAAGAGAAACACACAAGGCTGTATTTAAGGCCTTCTAGACTCGGGAGGAAAAAACACACTGCACTTTCAAGTCACATATAAACCATCAACTTTGTTTTCATTTTGTCAAGTGCTCACCCAACACATGGTAATACTTAGGAGATATTCATCTCTGCTATGATTATCTTTTTGTAAATTTGCAAACAGTTATCTAGTGCTTTAGCAAAAATGACCCACCGCTAAAACATCACCAGTTTCCATCACCTCCTCCTCAAACTCCTTCATATAAACACTCAAACGAACCTGAGCCAAATAAGTCAAAGAAGGGATTGGAATTTATATAGCATCACTATTGTCTTTGGCCAGTTATCTGTAACCTTTCTGAGGCAGCTAAAGGTGGAATAGTTGGGTTTATGGAGCATAGGATGGATCCTCTCAGTGTTATTGTGTGTGTGTATGAAAGAGAAAGACATAAAAAGGTCATTTAATGGGATGTTTTTTATGGAGACAAGTGTGTTTGAGAGCATTAGTGTGAGTGTGTTTTTTGAGCTCTTACCTGTGTCTCAACGTCAGTCAGCTTGCGTGTCTGTTCAGCAGTCTGAGAAAGAAGGTTGGTGCCCATTTCCAACATGGCTGCTGTCTGGTTGTGTACAGCGCTCTGCTGCAATTGAGCCATCTCTGTCTTCATGCTCTCTTTTATGTAGTTCTCGATCTGCACCAAAGAATGGTTGAAGAAAACAGATCAGACTCACAAGGAAAAGGGCATTTCTAAATGCTGCAGAATCGACAGATCCTGTAGATTTCCCTGTCAGCATATTGGATGTTTGCACTCATGTTTTGATCACAGAGGTAAAGAAAACACATGTTCTACAGTACACTTTAAGGTTTCAGGTATGAACGTAGACACAAAAACAGAATATCATAATCCTTTGAAACAATTGCTCAATTTGATTAATATTCAGGGTCAAAACATTGTAACTCAGATGCACATAAACATATGATATAACTAGTCCCACTGGCCTGGTTAATCTTCCACTAGATTAAACTGATTTTCTTTAATACCTTTTTCAAATCAACATTCCTTAGGCCACACACCGGAAAGGGTTTCTGATGTACATCTGAAGAAATGCACAAACATACTGTATTTTCATTTGCGTGGCACTCAAGTGAAGAATGGGTTTAGTCAATATAGGCGAAGCCACATGTAGGTGGTTAGCTTGGGATGGAAGAGGCAGAGATGAACAGATATTCACTGAGGCTTGACTGGAAAGAACTCTTTCATCCTTATCGCAAACAAACAACAAGATAGAGAGATAGAGGTGTATGCTGGATGAGATTTCTCTCACGGATTAACAATATGTGCTACTTGTGTCTTATGCTTGGATTCTATATACATTTTTCCTCCCAGTAAAAGGTTAATTTAGTCCTTGTACTTTGTGTCCTTGTGTCTTATTTGTACAGGGTTTTACATCATTTTGTTCCCAATATTGTTGACTTATTGGATATAGGAGGGCTTGTCTGTGTATGATTGGAGAGACGCTATTGTTTTTATAAATAAATCAGACTTGATTGGATTTTAAGTGTCCACTTGTTCATCTGGTTGCTCGCACTGAGATGATTCAATAATCGGCCAGTGGGGAGATTCATAACTAATAAAAGAGTTTTGCAGTTCAGGCAAAAGGACCTCAACATGTGTATTCTCATGAAAACAGGTTTGAACTGTAACTTTTTGACTCACATGTGGAGGGCCACATGCCTGTACATTGGTTCAAACAGACAAATATCGCACAAAATAATCCCCACTAGCCATAAGACTAGCTTGCCTTACCATAATGGGGTGAATTTAGTCAGTAAAGGCCTAGTAAGATCAACAGTTTTTGTTTTTGTGACAATTGTATGATGGAATGCATCCAATTTACATTTGATCTAATGATTAGATTGGTGACTTAATTGAAAGGACAAATTAAGGACAAATTATATAGTACAGTAAATACATATATAGAAACGTAAAGTTTCTAAAACAGAAAAATCAATCTGTCAGTATCTGTTGGCACAATAAAATTTTGATACTGTTTATACTATAGATATTTCTAGCAGAAAAAGGATCGCTGTATCCCTGCTTTTATAAATAATAGATGAATTGCAACATTTTAATCAATCCCAGGCTGACAGATAATGAAACAGTCAGAACTGAGATGGATCTCTTTGCTCTTCGATCGACATAGCCAGTTCTCAGCTATTTGCACAGGTCTGCCAATTCGAATTAGCTTTTTGATGTAATATCCTTTCTTGGCAACAAATTTAAAGTCAAATGTAAAAACATTTCGGGCAGGATTTCAGGCATAATACAGCTTTCCCTAACTGTAAACTACATAAGTCTGATATAAGTGTCACTTTCCACATAACCTCCAATGGTCTGGCCTGAGGAAATGGAAAGAAAACAGCGAGTCTGGAATCCACAAAGCTCAAGTAATGATGGATTACTCTGTCTGATTATGAACCATAGAATATGACTGTGTTTGGAAATGGTTTTCAGTCCATCTACAAATGTAAAATCTGTGGATGTTTTTACATCCATTTTGGTTGTTACTTAAAACCTCAATGCTTTGTACATTGATTTGCTGTACAACAGCTTTGCATTTCTGTTTACTCATCCACTAAGATGGTTGTATCCATTGTTTGAGGACGGTGACAGGCTTTGCACAGTCTAAGTCACCTTGAGAGAAAAGATACTGAAGGGACAGATGGCTGATGCAAACTTAAGCCCGGCGTCACTTTATGGTTGGTCTCTTAGGGAATGTGACTGACTCATGGCTGGATCTGGTGGGGGTCATAAATGGAAAGTACCAAGGAGAAACAAGATTACACAAACACGCCCAATCATGTAAAATCACCACTCAGGAAGCCGTAAAATAGGTCTATGTGGGTGTTGTGTTATTTTGATGGTTTCTAACCTCGACTCCAGTTAAATGCTGTGCTTTTCCAGTCAGTGACTACCAGTTGTAACTATTGTCAGCAATGAAAGCAAATACTTGCTTTCATTGCCAGAAGTAAAATGCAAATTTGTGTCAGTTAGGGATGGGATTGGGATGGTGAAAGAAATAGTGCATAAGGAATGCAAAGTTTGTAGTGTTTTATTTTCTACTAAGACATGAGGAACTATCAACGACTGATTTTCTCCAGAATACTTTGTAACTTTACCATTTTTAGTTCAGTTAAAGTGTAACCAGTTAATTCAATTCATGGTGCTGTTTTCTATGCATTTTCATCAAGAGATGAAATGACAGAACCAAGTGGTAATTTTGTCTGAGAGTCATGAATTCTTCTGACGAATGGGAATTTGACGAGAAACAGGTTTCAGACCAGTAAACCTTGGTAAGCTTCTACTCCACTCTGGAACCCACCAACTCAGGGTTAAAGAAAAATGGGGGTCACCCTTAACTGCACATGCACTGTCATGTGTACTAAGGAGAGGAACGGTGTGTTTTATTGCTTCTAAATGTAACATTTCATTTGTTAAAGAAATAATGTGTTATTTCTACTTTGGAAACTTAGTCTCACTTTTAAATTTTGAGTTGAAAAGATTTCTAGATTCCTACCTTTGTGTGAACATTTCATACTTTAAAAAGATATGGGAATTTCAATGAAACTCCACTTTCATCAAAATAAAAATAAATCTGTTTTTTAGAGACATTCCAGAAAGTGCCAAAATACTAGGATCTGCTTTCAGAAACTACTAAATCTAGTCTATGGTTTCACAAAATAACTGTTTGCTAAGTGAGAGTCACATTATGTTTCCCTAAGTGCTACTTTACACCAAGGCATAAAGGTTTTAAGGAGGTGTGTTTGGCACAGTCTGGCTTCATGTGGACTGCCTGTGACTTTGCTGTCATTAATAACTCAATGCACTGCATGTACAGACTGGTCCGTTTAGACAGTTATGAGGTACAATTGGCTGTTATATAGTAAATAAGCTGCTTTAAGCTGTCTAGAACATAAACGACAAGCTGTATATGCAGGATGCAATTTTTAAGAGCAAGGGGACTGTTCATCATACAGCGGGACAAGTGTTTAGGTCACTGCATGTGCACAAATTCATTTAAAGCATTATAGGCAAAAAGGCAACAATCCATCAGCTGAGATCCCCAACATACATATTCTGTACATCATCATGGTGGAGCTTCTAAATTGCCATTGCATGAGAGCCAAAAACAAGATAATCCCTCAAGATGATCCTCCCTGTTCTTAGATTACTACAAATGTTTACCACTTTTCTGACATTTCCCATTCATCCATTCCAAAAGGAGGTCTTGATCTTTTTCTAAACAGCAGCAGTGGTGATGCTGAGAGACACTGTGAGCCTGGACTGTATAAAACACTTACTGCTAGAGCTATGTCACATCTCTGCTTATCTCTCTGAGTGTGTGTGTGTGTGTGTGTGTGTGTGTGGGGAGGTGATAGTGATGGTTTTACTGGGGCACTCTGGCTTTCTGGGATGTCTCTCTGGATCCATTTCAGTCCACCTTAATGAACTAGAGCATGGGGGGCTGTTACCCCCCAGCATCAGCACCTTCTGGTGTATAACTAGCCACCTTGGGACAAATGCCAGCAAATACACTTAAGCCTTCTTATCACCCACTGCCGACACTCCTTTTTGAAACCTGGGCTATAATTCACTCTACTAGGGCTTTAGGAGGTGTTACCCTGACTCACTGCCCCGTCATTCTCCAGCATTATATAATATAGATATGGGCAACCTCTGTATGTATTTTAGAGAGCTGTCTTACTCAGTCACTGGCTTGTTTGTTTTTAAATCCACCTTGAAACCTCTCTGTCTTAAACTCTGCCAAGATTAGGTGAGTAACAACTCAGGCTGAACTCACAGCTGACCTCTTTGACCTTCACCCTGGTGGCCAACATCCAGGCGTTAAATCAGTTGTTGCCACATTTTTTCCTCTCATAGAATGTCAGTAGAAAGAGAAAGAAAATGGCTAACAGACAGACGGAAATATAAGAAACAAATAGATGTCCCCCATGCCTTAATGGACAAAACAGCAGCTTAGACTTGACTCTGAATGTTGAGAAATATTGGATTTCTCATCATGTTGAAGCGGTGTGCATGGAGCCTTTCTGTCTCTCACCCTTAAAAGGGTGGTGTCTTTATTTTAGCCTTTCCAAAAATAAAAGCTTTAGAGCAGTGGTCGGCAATAGGCTGCCCACGGGCCAGAACCGGCCCGCCAGTAATAATATTTGATAGCAGCAATAAAAATAAATAAGCAATAAAAAATAAATAAAACTGATAAGGGCTGGTGCTGAAATAGATCTCAGTTATGACAGCAACAGTTACTCACATAACCACTTCCTCTTAAGTGATTGTGCCTCTAAAATAAATGCGCAACAACGTCTTTTGCAGCAATGCTTCATGTCGAGATTATTAAGAGGTTTTACTTTGAAGAGTTCTGAAGGACAATTCAAAAGAGTCTCTGGCCTGCTTGACACACCTTTGAAAAAGCCTTCAGTAAACTTGTGATGATGATCAAACGCCGGAACGCACACACGCTGCAGCACATGCTTTATGTGAGCATGTGCAAAAGGGAGAAAAAAATATCCGTTTTGACTTTGTTCTGGCCTGCCATACGATGCCAGACTTATTTGCCGACCCCTGCTTTAGAGCAAAAGTGTAAATAATTGATTAAACTGTGTGTTTATTCG